CTTTAAGGTGACTGGGATGGTTTAGCTCTCAAAGGTGGCTATCACAGGGTAGATAAGGCAAAGGTGGAATGCAGTTCAACGTTCATCCATGTCCGTGGGTACTGACCCGAAATGCAATCCTTCCAACACGGGACCAGCTGCTGCAACACCGTCGTCAGGATGGTCTCGCGCTAGCCAAGCTGCTGCGGGTCATCGCACCGGAGGCAGAAGGGGCAGGGGAGATTGGGTCGATGTGTTTGCACGAACGATATGTCTTCATGGCAAAAGGATGCCTCCTTGTCATTTTAGCAGTGGGTGGAGGCCATCGCTCTTAGGGTTGGGCCAGTGCTATTAGGTTCTCCTTGTCATTTTCACAGTGGGCCCATGTTGATGTCCTCTTCAATTCCTTGTGGCGTCTCTGTGTGGGACATGTCCGGGTGTAACGGTGTACGGGTTGCTTTTGTTGGCTTCCACTTTGCAGAATAGATCTTTGATTGCGGAAGAACTTTATATATACCCTTTCTGAGCTTCCTTGGATGACACTAGGACATGCCAATCCTCAGGTGCTTATCAGGGCGTTTGTCTTGATTCTTTTTTCAAGTTCAGCGATTTGCCTAGGCTTGCCCAAGCGAGTTTTCAGAGAACAGGGAGGAGCGACTAGATCAGATCATTGCAGCTGCAGCACGGTGCAGTGACTACGAGCTGCTGACAGTCAATGCAGTGGTTGAGGGCCAATCTGACATGTTGGCCTGCTTCTTGGCACAGCTGATGCTGGTTAGACCAAATCTGGCTGCTCGTGCAGAGTCCCTTCTTTCGATGCACTTGCAGTTGCTGGAGCAGGTTTGTAGCAATGGCTTGACAAGCCTGACCTACCCAAATCCAACGGAGACCATGAAGATTTGCCAAGAACTGGAAGGTTGTTGGACTGAGTTCCGTTTGGCTGTGCAAGCAGTGCAGGAGGCCTCTCGGAGTGTGTCAGGAATCAAGGAGCGAGTGCATACCTTTTTGGGCGAGACGCTCTCACATCGAGCACGAGGACGGGACGGGCATGGAAGGGCCTGATATTTGCATTACCTGTTACTGGTTGGCTGATTGTGGCTGCGGCTGGTTGGTCATGCAATCGTTTTTGCTTGTCAGGAATGCAGACAATGACATATACAGTGTTGCCAGCAAAAGTGTCAGTAGTCCAGGGCTTGAAAGGTCCCCAAACGGCCTTTTGTTTCCATGGTTGAACTCACAATGTTCATTGCATCGTAAGAGTCTTTTGTACTGGCACATTGAACGTGCGCGTGAAGGAGAGCTTGATTTAATGATCATTGACTCGCAGTCCAATTGAGAGTTCTTGTTCTGATCAACTCGTGAGGGAGAGATACCTTGATTGATGTGGGTTCTGGCTTTGGTGGCTTTTGGCTTCTGATTCTGTCGCTTCTTGGCTTTTGTCTTTTGGTGGCTTCTTATCTTTTGCTGGCTTCATGGCTTTTGGTTTTGACTGGCCTCTTGGCTCTTGGCTCACTTTAGGCTTTTGGTACTTTCTTGGCTGTGGCTTTTTGGCTTCGGGCGGCTTCTGGATTGGCGGGCTTCGAGAGATTCTGGGTGGTTTGGCGGGTATTTTTTAGTTGCCTCAGGACCTGTGGTTAAGCTCATTTGCAAAGAGGTTCTCTCCACTTTGACCTTGGCCCTGTGAGATAGACTCCAAGCAATTGACATGGTATCCCCGCTTGCAGAGAAGCTAATTTTGTGGGTTTCACATTCTGCAAAGCTTGTTCACTTCCTCGACTTTTTCCTGCAAGGAAATTGAACAGGAAAATGACATTCAAAAGGGACAATTAGGACCTATAAGGAAACTGACCGACAGGGATTTTAAAGGGGCACTTTGATTTAAAGGGAGAATGAAACAACTTGAACAGGACAATTAAAACAAAAAGCCAATTGAACAATACATTGAAAGGAATTTCAGTTTAAAAGGAGATTGAACAGGAAGGTAAAGAAGAGTCTAATTTTATGAGAACAATGAGCAGGAAGTTGCTTTCACCCTGGGTCAAAACAGAAGGTTCTATGACCCTGGGATTCTGGGATCAGTAAACGTTCTCAGCCATTCTGTTCATCTTAGCGAGGTGAGGGTCATGTGGAGTCTCGCTTTCCCTCATCGTGTCCCCCGCTGCCTTTAGGGCGGCGGGAGGAGCTTCCTTGAAGAAGCGTGAGCTATCCTGCGTCCTACCTAGGAGCGTCCTGTACCTACTACCTCTCCCTTACTCAATTAAGTAGGCGCCTACTTAAGTAAGTAGGGAGGCGGGAGCGGGCTAGACAAAAAAAATGGCTCACTCAAAAACGAGTCACCCGCGAGGTCAACCGAAAACCATGTTGGATGCCAAAGAGCTCCGGGAGTTTCTCTTCTACACCTCAGTCAGCATTGAGCGGCTCACGGCCAACAACAAAGAGGTGGCCGACAAAACGACACAAAATTGCTAAATTATCTTTGTATTTTTTTGTATTTTAAAGCGTAGCCTTGAAGTAGAATGCCCCTTTGTATCTATCTACAGCACTCAGAGATGTTTTTCCTTCTCAATATTCACATGGCGCATTGGTTATAGCCATAGCAGGTGAATGTTGATCAAGCCGGGATTGGCAAAGTGGAGGATATCCTGAAACGCCATTTTCGGCTTCTTCGGGCCATTTTTAAGCACTACAGCACAGCAAAGCCTTCTGGCGCGCATGGTGTGGACCTCAAGGGCTTGCTGAAGCTCTTCCAGGAGTGTAAATTGCGCTCGAAGGAATTCGCTCCTTTCCACTTGGAAACCATCTTCAATCATCACTTGGAGGACAAGACAAGGACAGGTGATGACAAATTGCTAGCACCTCATGAATTTATTGAAGTGCTAATCCTTTGTGCCTTTACCAAGTTTCGTGCTGCTGGCAATTCCCTCGCTGAACAAGTACGGCTTTTGATCGATGACCATTTGAAACCAAATGCATGCAATGACTCCGAGAGCATGTTCCAGCAGATGGCTTACAGTAGCCAAGTTCGTCAGGTGCTTGATCAGCACTCCAAGGAGCTCTTCTACATTTTCCAGCTCTATGCATGTTTGGACATGTCAACCACTGAAGCCATGCAGAAAGAAAACACCATGAACATCACGGAGTTTCAAATGATGCTTGATGATTGTGGCTTTTTGGATCTCACCTTGACTGAACAAGCGGTTCAGCAGATCTTCCAAGGGATTCAGCAGAATGCCACGGCTGATGATGAGGAGGAGAACGAAGGCGTGGACGATGATGAGGAAATGTCTCTCTCTGAATTCTTGGATGGCCTGGTGACTTGGTTTTCATTCCTTTTGTTTGCATATTGTTGGAACAGATACCCCGAGGCCTTGACATGATTTTGCAGCGTTTTCTGTGAGCAGCTGAATCTCTGTGAGCACTCACTGACGAAAGGGTAGCAGATCAGAAGTCAAAACAGATTGTCAATTGGCGTACTGTATATAGATCCCACGCACAAATCACCCTGTATATGATCAAAAGCACCTACGAGCAGTCACTGATGACGAGAAGTCACTTACTTTATATACCAAGAATCACCAGAGAACGAGAACCAATTCAAGAAAATGAAAGCAGTTCAGAGCCACACATGCAATCCCAGAGCTGAAAATACCTTGATAGACAGACCCTTGTCACTCGAGGTGGCGGTGGCTGCATACAAGTTCCCAGATCCCTTCACCCCGCTCAGCACTCGCATCAATACCTTCATGTTGCAACTCTTTGCTGCGCTGCGGAAGCATTGGAGCCGCAAGCGTGGAGCTCCCAGGGTGGACATGATGCTGAATGCCTTGCAGAAGAAGATGCGCTAATCAGAAGCAGGGCACACTGCGTCATTCAATCTAATAGCAAGGACGGCGAGAAACAGCCGTCGTTGGTGTTACGAACCAGATGCCTGCGTCTCTGAAATATAGGAGACAGACTCGCAGAAGACCTGCGGAGAGTTCTCAAGCAGCTGTTGAGCAAATCGCCAGCTTCGGAGTAACACATGATTATGTCGATGAGACAGCGTAACTAGTGAGCTTGTTTGCGGCATGGAATCCATTGGTTGTCGAGCAGTGCGGGTGCCCAATTCTACTTTGTACTACTCACGTTTGGGGCAGCTTATCATAACCTTCGAGTTGGGGTCAACAAACGTATCCATTCCAAAATCTAAATGCTCCACATTAAGCTGAGAAATCATTTGTTGATGTTTTCCAGTCTTGAATTACGCACCCCCAATAGGTGGGTCTCTATTGTGAGAGAGAAGAAAAGGATTCTGAAGCTATCAGCACCTTCTTTCGATTCGCCACGGACGCCTTCAGCTCGAGCCGGCTTCGGGGCGCAATGGCGCACAAATCAAACCCGTACAAAAAGGCTGGGCTGGGATAGTTCATTGCTCTTAGTATCTTTTGGTGTATTTTGCTATCGAGGGAAACTGGTACAATGTTGTATAGAACATAGGAGCGTGTCCGCCTCAACACACAGCCAGAAACGTTGAAGCCAGGCGCGATCGAAGTTTCGCTGGAAGTGGAAGAAGAAGCGCACTCGCCGACTGCAAAAGAAACGTCGCAAGATGCGTCAGCGCTCAAAGTGAGGCGAGAAGTACTTCGCCTTCTGGGAAAGTCTACTTTCGACACCAGTTGCTAGAGGTGGCAGGTCTGCAGTTATCCTGAGCCATGCATGTTTTTGCTTAGGTGCTAACCATCCTAAAAGTCTCTAATGTGGCTTTGGGTTGGGTTTGCACGTCATTGCCTTTCGCTCAAAAAGGTAACACAACAACTATGTCTCACCCTACAGGGTGTAGCCTGTGTCTGCAGGTCACCGATGCTCAATGAACCAGCTGTCCAGCACGGCATCAACCGCGCACAATGAGAGACTAGCTAGCCGCCACACCGCAAACCAGACTGACCGCCTTAGCGCTGGATCCCAAAAGGGCGTGATGCGAGCCTTACTGTTTGTTGCAGTAGCTTCTTTGACCAGACATGGGCGGCGAATCGAGTCACCAGGACATTTCACCTCCGAGGGCGCCGTTATCAAGTTCTTCCGCCTGGGGCTTTCCACACAGATTCCTGTATGGTTGGCTTTTGTGCACGTTTGAGGCAAGGCCCATTGAAGAACTTGACCGAGCAAGATCCGCCTGAGGCCAGCAGACCCAGAAGACATCCTTTTGTTTTCAGGAATGTGTGGTGAATCGCACAGAATAGCTGGAGTGCAGTGCAGGTGAGGCGTGAAGTGATGCGCTCTGCTGGTGGCTCAGCAATTGGTTCAATGCTTTAAGAGCAGAGTCTTGGTCTTTCATTCACACCGGAACTGCCTTCAAAAAATGAAGAACAACATGTTTTCTATTGTACTGTGAATTCTTTCCGCTGTCGCGCTTCATACACCAGCGCCACACATTTTCAGAGGTCCGGACCCCGGTGTCCTTTCGACTCCGGCTGGACCCTGTGGACTGCGGCCTGTCCCTCGAGTGTCACTTCCAGGGGTTTGGCGCCGATCAACTGATCCTGTGACTGAGGGGAAGATGGAATTGTGGCGGTAAACCTGCGGCGACCTCAGCAAAAGGTCGATGACGTACTCTGAGTATAGTTTCCCTAATGTTCTAGGAACGAAATGATTAGTGCGAGCGCTTCTTCAAGGAAGCTCCCCCCGCCCTCAGGGGAGCTTCCTTGAAGAAGCGTGAGCTATCCTGCGTGGATGTCTCGTAACTTATTCCCTTACTTAATTTAAGCAAGTAGGCGCCTACTTAATTAAGTAGGAGCGGGCTTTAAGAACAGTTCTCAGATAGCAACAGAAGCTTTGCTTCTTCGGACACACTTGGTGTACGAGGGCTCGCCCTTTCGATTTGGCGAGCTCTGGACGCACCGTGCTGCGCGCACGACAGCGGGCGGCATACCACGCAGCAGAAGCGAGGCGAGAGAAAGCGTCGCTCTGTTTCCTCAGCTTGGACACCTTTCCAATTGGCTTTGCGGCTTTGCGCGTCTGTTTTTTTAATCTACTTGCATCAGCGCTTGATTGGTCAACCTTTACCAGATCTACATATACTATATTTATTATATGTATTTATGTATACACAAGTCTAGTTAAGAATTGAGATTTGGAGTTTTCTTGAGTGAGAGATGCCTGGTTGCTAAAATCAAAAGTACAACTCCTCATGATCTATGTTGTTTGTGACTAAAGTGACTTCCCTGCATAGTTTGGCACCCATTTTGAGATCCTCCTAGAATACAGTTGTTCCTGTTGAGTGGGTAACTTTAAGTATCGCGAAAGGCTGACAAACAAATGTCGATACTTTAAAGCTCACCATGGCACTATTTGCTTTTGCCTTTTTGAGTGGCACAGAACTTCTCAAAGAGCATTTTTTGTGAAACATCCACCAGGTGCTTTTGTTTAGTTTTAATACGTGTAAAGATCTAAAAGGTGTTCTCAGGCTCTTCCAAACTGACTGTGGTTGCAGGGTACTCAATGATCGAGGGCAACAGGAATTGCGTTCACAGGCAGGAGCCACAGAGTTTCAGATCCTAACATGTCACGTCGAATGGTTCAAGAACAGGTCCCATCCCTAATAGCGATGGCCTCCCTAATGGGGGCTTAAAGTAATCATTTACATGTGAAGTGTCATGATGTGCTTCCAGACTTTGGGAATGTACAGGATGGGGCTGAAGAGCGCTCCTAAGGTGACACACTTCATTGGTGGGCCCTGTGAGGAGGAAAAGGTGCAACAGCATTGCGAGTGACAGCGTGACGCATCTGTCATACTTCTGGCATGGCTGGTCTTTGGGAGGTTGGGGACTTCATCTACAGGGTTATCAACAGGTCAACTCACCAACACGAAAGCATGCATGGCTGTGAATTTATATAAGTAAATCAAAGAGGAGATGACACTGACACTGACACAGAAGAGGAGTGCTTGGATTTCGCAGATGGCTGGGCATTTTGGGACTTGATCACCATCTCCCCCTAACCATTGGTCACAGACGGTCACTGGTTCTTACCTGATTCGGGCCCGGGCCCTTTGCACTCGTCACATGCCGCTGCCACCTGGTAAGTGCTTATTTTCCCCCCCCCCCCGAATTTCCGGGTATAATTGTATGGCAAATTGCTTTCAAGAAAACAAAGACAGCAAGAAGAAAGTACTCTCGAAATGACACCCTGTGGGTTGGGGTGGCATCGAATTGGCTTTTTGTTGTCTCCTAACACGCAGCCTCTTTGATTCTTTGATAACTTGGCAGCCCCAAGCAGATGGTTCGGGACATTTCAATCACTTTTGGTGCGGTCAATACCCACCCCAGATCTGGAATGACAGCTCTTCTCTCGGAAAGGTGGCATGCTGCGTGGTGGCATCTGCATCCGGGTACAGCATCGTGCAGGTGTGAAACGCAGAAAGCTGGGAAAGAGGCCACATTAGTTTGAGTGCGAGACCTCAAAACCTGATTGGACCCAAAACTTTGTTGAGATCAGACAAACAAGGGTTGAGAGGACCCATGTCCAATCACATTGAGTGTTCCCAAAAGGCGTGTTCGAGACACAACTCTCAGTTGTACCTGACAATGTGTTTTTCAAAAACACTGGTGTGGCGGGTGAGCGAATGATGCATCTATTTTTGCTAGGCAAAAACTGTCCCTGGTAGCTGAGGATGATGCTTGCCTTCTTGCTGCCTTGTCCGCAGCAGAGGACCACTCCTCCTCAGCTCGGGGAGGCTTTGAAACAGCGCAGCTCTGATGCAGGAGATTTGCAGCTCTCTCAACGACACAGCCGCTGAGGGTGCAGCCGCCGCCTTGCGGCTTCCTGTGGCATGACAGCACGATATTAACGAAGTCGCAGGAACGAAGCCATGCCAGGAAAAGAGAAAAGAAGGAAGAGTCTGAAGTAAGAGATGAAACATGAAGGTAAGGGCCCCTTGGGCCCAGATTCAGGTGCCCATACTTGCCTTGCTTTTTTCATCTCGTTTTGCAGACTCTGCCAGGTGCATCCTTTTTATGTTCCTTTTGGTGTTTTGCGTTTTCGACGTGCTACGTTCAGCCACAAAGCCGTGACACTTTGGAGCTTGCTGCAACTGTAACGCCAAGGCTATTGAATCCACCGGAGTTTCCTCCACTTCCACCAGTGATACTGCAGATTCAGATGGGAAAGAGGTCTGCGGGGAAGTAGGACGCATTCCGGTCCTTCATGTTTTGGAAAGCTGAGATGGCTAAGGTGAGCTTGTCCTTGATTAGTATTGTCAAATCACTCAGACGGACGATCTGACAGCCTATCGTTTGCACGAGATGTGTAGCAGTTCGAAGACCATCTACATCGTACGACCTGTTGGACTCCCGGACGACTGAGAGACACCTGAGTCGCTTGGAGGCCGAGACACCCACGGGGCCCAAGCGACGGCGCATCGACGACGATTCGGGCCGGGTGCCGAGCGTCAGGGCGTCCCAGAGTTGAAGCGAAAGGGTTTGGACAAAAAAGAGGTGGAGGAAGAAGAGATGAGAAGAGTCGAGTCTACTCATACAGTTGACTGTAGGTGTTGTTATGCTTTCCGAGTGTGAGAGACAGAAGAGGCCTCACAGTTTGCATACAAGGAGAAAAAGATTCTTGCCAACAATACAGAGAGCCATATTTGTTTGCACTATCCACCAGAATGCCACAAGCCAAGTTGTGTGGTGACTAAGGATGCACGCAAACTCTATGCTCTAGATTTTGTAGGACTCTGTCAACGACCGCACCATACTTCCCCAGTAGCGAAACTTAGGGGTCTTCAGCGATTGTAAAGACTTCGGAGAAGATCGGAGCAGTTTCCGCAGCAGGTTCCGGAGCAAGTTCCGGAGCAGGTTCCGGAGCAGGTCTCGGCAGGGTTGGGGGTTCCGGTTCCGGAACATATTAACACATTCCATAGCAAGCTCCGCAAGCTCCGCAACAATTTCGCAGATACGCTGACATGCTGTTTTGCTGAGACTGTCATGGCGTCATGCTGATATGTCACAATGCTGGCGTGTTGTTCTGCTGACGTGTTGCCACGCTGTCAGGCTACACGCTTGTATGGTGTGCGCTGTCATGTCACTCCGACATTCTAACAGGTTGACACTCTGTCATGCTAACTGGCAGACATTCTGCCATAATGACATGCAGTGTTTGCTGACACGCAAACAAGTTGATTGTCATGCTGACGTGATGAGGCGTTGCCACCCCAAAATGCTGACATGATGTCAAGTTGGCCTTTTGTATATGATGCTGCCATGCAGACCGGTATGTTGTTTGCATGATGGCGCTATGCAGGCATGCTTTCACTCCAGAGTGGGTGGGGTTCCGGAACAGGTTCCCTGGTTCTCGGTTGTTGATTTTGTTGCGGCGGTGTGGGCACATGTGCTATGCCACTATTTTGCCATGCGGTGATGCTCGGCACATTGACAAAGCTCAGGTGATTCAAAGCAGCATTGGTTGCCAAAGACGCAGCACTTGTAGGTAAACGTGCGATGTTGCCATTGCTTGATAGGTGGGTTCATGCTGTTGGGCTTGCCTAAGCTTTCAACTGACTTGTTTGTACACATTCTCCCTTCCGGGCGCTGCGCCGTCAAGGTGCAACTAGCCTGGACAGTACACATGGCCTGGATTTTCAGGGACTCGATATGTGGGTTTAAGAACCTGTAGCGACAAACTTGCTTGTAGCTTTTCACTTTTTTGAACTCGCTGCTGAGTTAAGTTATTTCTGAGTACTGTAGGTTCTCCCGGTCTTTCATGTCCAAAGCTTCCCTTGACAGCCGGAAGGGCGTGAAGAGTTGTTTGAATGGGCAGGGTGCAATCAGTCCAATCACTGCAATCCACAACATGACTGACCTGGCAAGGCTGATGGAACACCAGAGTCCACCTCCGCTCACTCGTCAGGCCCTAAGTGATCCATTTCATGCTGTGCAGTGGTCCGGAAGCCGTCACGTTTGTGGCATTGTGGACGGCTTGAGCAGTTCCAAGCGTCTTGGGATTGAGCAGTTCCAAGACGGGGATGCCGTGTAAAGTGATGTTTCAAGCTTTCCATTTTTTACACAGTGGGCCAATCCAATCAGGAGAGGTTGCCATACATTTGTCATGATCCATTTTGTGAAACCGATGGCAATGTTACCGACAACAATGTTCTGCAACCAGTGATAGAGTCGTGAAACCGATGATGACGTGCTGTAACTGATAGGTGACAATGATTTGGCCAACCGATATGTCGTGAAGCCGATGAGAATATTCTGCAACCGATGATGTTGTGATACCCACGACATGAAAGTATTGATCCCCCCTTGACCGAAGAAGTTGCATTCCCAGTGAACCGACAGAAGTCTTCTTCCTAGGGGCATGCCACCCAGAAGTCTTGTTCCTGGCCGGAAGCTCGATGAGCCCGTGAGCTAAGGCCGGTGCGTGTGTTCGTCTACTGGGGCTATGCTGGCTGGAGCGCTCCGCTCAAGCGACTAAAGGGCTTGTTTTGCTGCAGCCGCAATGTTACAGGCATCCAGGTGTCTATTTTAGAGGGACATCCCTCTATCGCAAGTATATCCTCAAGCTTTGGAGCTGCAGCACGAAGTGCGACGTTTTGTGGGACTTGAGGGCAGTGCCGTTTGAAATTACAGAGATCCTCCTTGTTTGTATCACGGCCTCTCCAGGAGCCGATGTCAATTGATGGGCGAGATTGCACGAGGTGCATGCCAAGCAACGCATCGTTGAACTTTCCTCCTGGAGATTCAATAACAGCTGTGCCAATCAAGCAGGAGCAGCTGCTGATCAACAATTCAATCACCAAAAGGTGGTCTTAAAATCTCCGTTTGAATCCAGTGCTCGAATCGCCAAGTCACTTGGCCACTGTTGGAGCATGCATTTTTGGTAAGTTATATAAGTTTCCCTAAGAAACTAGGAACCAAATCATTAGTGCGAGCGCTTCTTCAAGCTTCCCCGCCTTTAGGGTGGCGGGGGGAGCTTCCTTGAAGAAGCGTGAGCTATCCTGCATCCTGTGAGTAGTAGCGTCCACTTGTAGCTACTAGCTACCTACCTAGCTAACCTACCCCCCCACGACGCGCGGAAAAAAAAGGACAGTGTTTTACAATCTATAATTGCTTTTGTCTTTGGTGCACGTGCCAGGTAGCTGGGGACTCTGCAAAGCAAACACACAAGATGTGGTCTCCAAACGTCCTGATGAAGTGCGCCAAACATCTCGTCTCGAATCAAATCTAAAAAAAAGGGGAATAAAACAGGAAAGACAAACAGATAAATCAGAAAAGAGAACAGCAAACAAACCAAAAGGGAAAACCAACAAAAAGAGAATGGCAAGCAGTATATCCTCGATTGCGCAGGTATGGCAAGCAGTCTATCCTCGACTTGTCTTTGCACCCAAAAGCGATCCTTGGTTGCAAACACAGCTTCGCAAGCCCAGTGCTCCCCTTGCGATCTGTTCCTGAAGCCTTCGCCTGCCTTTGGGTTTGCTTTCAAACCCACTTGAGGAGATGAGTGAGAACTACAGCGGCGACATCTGGCATGTCTTAGACTGCTCAAGCTGAAACATTTCCAGCTTGCGCTTCTGCCCAAACGCATACATTTCCGTTGTAGGCGAATCGCCACAAGAAGAACGGCGGCAGCAACTGCTGGTGCCTGAGTTCCATCGCTGTTGCCACCGCCGACTTCAGGACTTTATACAAGAGAAATTGGTTGGAACATGGTTGACGTGAAACCTTCAAACAGAGAAGACAGGTATAGGGCACTGGTGTTACTGATGTGCGATTTAGCAAAGAGCTTTTTTGTTCGCGTCCTTACATTGAATGGTGGAGTTTGGGGATGATTTCGTCTAGTCTAGTCATCTCTAGAAATAGGAGGCCTCGATTTATTTGTGTTTAAACTAGCCGCCTTTTCGGTGAGTTGGCAGTCTCAAGCACAGCATGGCAAACAATAAGAGACTTTTGCTCATTTCGGATGGACAATTCATTTCACACATGATAGTAGCATTGATAACATTGATAAACCCCAGCAGTGATAACTGTATAGCCGGCAACGGCTACACAGCAATCAAGAGAGCTTCGAACTGTAACAATGCAATGTTGGGAGGAGTGCTGGAAAAAACATACATTTCGTAAGATAATTGCAAAGCCAATTGTTTGGGCAACACTCAGGCGACGTATGGCCATCATTCACGACCTTCTGACGGGGCGACATGCAAGTGCACGGGTGGCTTGGCATTTTGGCACAATGTCACGTAGTTGCGTATATTGTGTTACTTAAGTTAACAGCATATGAATTCTACTAGTAACAAGTGCATCGCTACTGGTAACAAGGGCCTTACTACTAGGAGCAAGAAGCAACTAGTAACACAAATATTCTAATCGTATAGCTTCTTGTTTCTATTTCTTTGTTTATGTTCAACAAGGACATATCGCATGCAGTTGCTTATGGGGTAAAAAATCCTGAACACTAGTGCGTGGGAATGATGATGACCTGTTGGACATCGTGTGGTCTGCCTACCATCCAACTAACTTGTTTGGTATCTACCGTATCCAACTGGGCCTGCCCCTAGCACAAGGTTTTTTGCCCTCTAGAATCCTCTAGAACCTTCCTTGTCAGCATCTGCAAGTACATATTAAAATGCAGGGATCAAGAATCTGGCCTATCGGAGACACTTTGCGGGCAAATCTTCCTCCATAACCTTCCATCAGGACGAAGATGAAGAAGCCGAAGCCGAGGTTTCTGAAGAGGACAGTTGGGCTACAGCTACAAACTATTCCAGCGGAACTCAACGTGACATTGCTGTTTTTGGGTCCAAAGAGTACTATAATTTTATTTAGTCTCTTTTTGATGTTGGACCTGATTTCCCAAGGGATGAAGGAGCCCACCTTGGAGGTTGTGATTGGGAGTCCACCCTACTTGGACGCTTTGCTCTTGAGGACCCCGAGGAGGAACGAGCGGCCGAGTCCCTATTTCAAAGCTATGGTAAACAGAATCTCGTTATTGATGAGGCCCTTCGTCGGTCTGAGACTGAAGAACTCCAACATGGTGCCCACAGAGGGGCTCTTGTAGTGAGAAGGGATCAGTCAATCTTCAGACTGCCGCACTCATTGATTGTTTGCAGATGGAAGGTGCTCAGATGCCCTTGGCCATTGGCAAACAACCCATTGCTCCAGACAGCTTCCAAGGTACCATTCATCATCGCTTCTTGATTGTTCTCTTCGCGGGTGGATTCATGTGAACGAGCTTCAATTCTTTTTCGTGGGAAGCACTTGATGGTTGTCACCAGTACTGCGGGAGCAACGAGCAAGTCTGGGAAGTTTGATCTTTCGAGCCGGCACGAAGCACATAGGATCTATGGAAGAGTGGGAATAAGGAAGAGGTCTGGAGGAGCTAGCTGTTTCCGGATAGAGGATCTCTTTGTGCATCTTCAGAACATCTTCCAAGTTCCAACTCCCTCAACATCCTATTGTATCTATATAATTCCATGCTAAAGTGTTTAACTTATTTCAAGATTGAAGAAACCTCGTCCTTACCCCTTCCTTATCTACGTACATTGATATTGGTAAATAATCGTTCTTCCATCGGAGCATCCCTTGGGACTTTGGTCGTTCTCGGACCATCTGAATCTGCGTCGCCAAGGCCTTGGCCGAAGAGCTCGAAGCAGCCGATGCCTCGGAATCGGCGGAGGAGGCCGAGGACCGAGCGTGGCTCAAACGAAGGTGAGCTACGCGCTTTAAAGCTAAGCGCTTTAAGGAGCCTAATAGCGATGGCCTCCAACCAAGAGCGATGGCCTCCAACCTAGTAGCTATGGGAGCTATGGCCTCCAACAGGATATATAGTGAGCTTATCTCATAGGGGCAAAGAGTGTGGATGTATGTAGAAGGATGTCGGGGTGATGGTCATGTAGTGTCTTTCTTTGTTTGTTCTCAGGAGACCGGCAGTGATGTCCCCAGGGAGATGGGCTCAGTTCTTTCTTACGAGAACACCCCCTCGAAACTCACTATCGTGACAATAGATCACGTGGGCAGACAACTTGATATGCAAGATCATTGGCAATTCACAGCTTTCGCAAGGGCCACCAGGGATTGACAGCGGGATTTTTTCTCCTATGCATATGAAAGGAGATCGAGTGAGCGGTTTGCCTGGGGATGACTTTGTCTTGACTCGGTAGCTCGGCAGGAAAGTGCCGCCATCGTGACGGACAGCTGTGAAGATGTGAGCGGAGAAGAATGCGAGGACAGCTGAGATTCGTCTATTTGCTTACTTACAGGATATTTTATGTGTCCTTTTTCCAGCCCAATTCCTCACCTCCATCTCAAGAAAACGCAAGATGTGGATGTTCCACATTTTGGCATGGCCATGGCTCCTCAGCAATGTGGCCAAATACCAGACCACAACAGGATCGGTTTGCAAGCCATACTGTAATTGATTCACTGAATGACAGACCGGAACCCCGACTTGGAGCAGTCACACTAAGCTACCAGATCTACGAGCAATGGCACAGACACCTAGGTTGAATCAGCTGCACTGAAGGTTCATGTCAACTGGTTCTTCAGTTGTGTGGAGTTTGAACGTCTGTATCCCACGATCCGAATCGCTGGTTGGCCGCAAAGGCTGCCTTGTGTTTCAACCGGGATCACTCTTTAGCAAGCTGATTTGCTCGCAGGAAAGAGGCAGTTGATTCGCGCCATTGTCCTTCCAGGATCGTAGGCCAGATGAGGACAACCACCTGATCAATATAAATATCTCATGCGATGCCTTCGACACACACACACAATATACATCAAGTCCAGAGCTAGGAAGTCGAAAGCCACTCTTGAGCCCTTACTGTTCTTTTGCTTCCTCATCGGAGAGAGTAGAACGATTGTGCATGCTTGAAGACGCTGGATGGCCAGATCAATCCACCCAGCTTTTCTGAAAGTTCATCGCTTGTTGGAACTGAAGCGAGACCTCTGCTTGGGTGTCTCGCAGTTGAAAGTCTTTAAGTTGACAGCACTGGGAGCTCAGCTAAACAAGTCCTTTTGCAGCATTCTTTGTCTTGCCAAGCGCCAGAACACTTGAGCCACGTTAGTTTCTCCCAGTGTAAACGCTTATTGGACATTGCTATGCGCCCTCTGGACGCACGTGTACATAAAGCTGGAATCTGAAATTGAACACTGGAACTTCATGGAGCCCCTAGGAACAGAGGCAATTGTTATTTGGACTTCGCCGCACGTTTGATATGTGTGGTGAACCAGCTCTGCCAGCTTCCAGCCACTTTTAGTAAGACTTGAAACACAGCTGACAAGCTACATTTCATGGCAAAGGCAATAGGACCCCATACGGGCGTGAACTCTGAATTGACCTGGCTTTTCTTTAATGGTGGGATTGTAAAACGAATGAGTGGGCTTGTCTGAAGCTTGGGGATCCGACGGCACCTTCAGGACAGATTTTCTTCCGATTTCCTCTTCGTTTGTCTCTTCCTTGACATGCCAGCTGTGACTGCCCTTATCCCTGCGTGGAACACTTGCACGCACATCTTTCAGTAGGTTAGTTGTATTCGACAATGTTCGAGAGAGGCGAGCAGCTTAGGAAGAGAATCAGAGCGAAGTGTGAAATGAAAGATTGATATGAAATCGATTGCAGGAAAAGTCTGAAGAAAGGGTCTACAGTTTTCCATGCACTTTACACCCCAACATTTGCGCTCAAGAGCAGCGACTTTTTGTTCCTTTTCTTGTCATTTTCATCTCTCAGCTGGGATGGGCATTTGCCAGTCTCGGGAACGGTCTGAAATAGTGTTTCAGCAGACTTTAGAGGATGTGTGCAGCTTTCGTGTGTTGCTTGGGTCGGATCGTGTGCAATCGACTGATTCGATGTGTAGCTGAAGCTGCTCAGGCCTCTTTCATGAGCCAAAAGAACAATGGCAGCTTTTGTTGAACCTCTTTATCATTTCTGGCCCTACAGTGTTGCCAAGTTTCCCTGAATAAAGGAACACCAGCCCTTCTGACATGGCAGCCACAGGCAAGTACGAAAGTGACGGATGCAGATCAAAAAGTGCATGATGAGACAGCAGCGGGCATCATGCTTCCTCTGGATGATCCAATGCAGCCAGCCTCAAAATGAAATTGAGCCCCCCTGCAGCTTCATGACAACACAGGGTTTGTTCAATCAAATCAGTTGGGGAGGTTGATGCAATTTTTTGCCTTCCACATGCTCGCCCGATCTCCAGTGGCAACTCTCGGTTGAGTGCTCCGTGGCGTGTCCAGTGACTTCGCCGTATGGGAAGAATGAGCAGATACATCACCAACGGACTCAATGGACTCCAGACTTCCGTTTTCATAGTAGCTTTTGTTCCTAGTAGCGATGCCAGGAGCCCCTAGTAGCGTCCTTGCTCCTAGTAGTAAGGCCAGGAGCCCCTAGTAGCTTCTTGTTCCTAGTAGTTCAGATGGACTACTTGTTTGCGATTTTTCAACCCACTTCAAATGAGAATTGTCCACGGTCGTTCCTCGCACACCCCACCTTTGAAGGTGCGGAAAACGCTGCGTGGGAGCACGCTCCGATGTCTGGGCCGAATGGAAACCAGGCTCGGTGCGACCAGACTTGAAACCCAATTTTTCAGTTTCAAAAGGTTTTTAATTCAAGAGGTTTTGATTGTTTGAACAATAGAATCCAATAGAATCCTGTCGACAAAACTTGTGCTTGGTCTGCTTTCAAACTGTTTGGGGTCATCCTCGGTCATTTTCTACCTTCTATTGCGCTTTGCAGTGATGCACCGGAGGGCTCCATAGTCTAAACTTGGAAGTCTTCCTCCCTAGGGGTTCGCCCGCCTGCAGTGTTTCCTGGTCCAGATGTGACCTAGGTTCGTCTTGCACATTTTGGTGCAGTGGGAGATTCTTCAAGCCGTTTCTGATGGACTTTTCTGATAGATAAGAGAGTGAAGTACTGGAACATTTACCAGAGATTGATCCATGAACCACATCATCCTTTCATCATGCTGTCTGCCTTTTCCGCTGCTTTGCTTGCTCTATGTCTCTTTGTTTGTCGCCAATGTTTCTTGGTTCGGGAGAGTAGAGTAGGCCAAGCCCCAAGTCCTTGTCGCCTGATCTTCCCTCTTCCCTGGTTGCAGAGCAGGATCTCAGAACGATACAAGGATGAGATGGAATACATGGATCTCTTTCCGACTGTCACTGACAAGGAATACCTCTGAACTTATTGAAAAAGCCTAGGTTCCATGTCAACATGCTAGTCGGAGGAGCACTATATGTTTGACCATACATACGGCGCCTGGGTCATTGCTCGTTCCGGTGACCAGAAAGGACGTTTTAGTCATAGCCAGGAGTCAAGAGCAAGAACTGTCACCTAGACAATTGCTTGCCACAGCCCACTCGAAATCATCACTTGCCAACTGCATGCACATGTTGCACCACCTCTGAAGGACACTTGGACACCCAGGTCATGTGCATACCTGTCAGGTTTGCAGGTTATTGGCACCTATCAAATGGTGTGGTAGAGCAATATACATGTAGAATGTAGCTTGTTCAAAAGAAGAACACCATCCCCCCAGAAATTGACTTGATGTCGACAAGTCCAGTTTGCCAAAGCACTTCGAATCATTGAATGGTCCCTGCCATTTTGGAGAGTGCTGATGGCTGTCAGGCTTCAGAGAAGCCACTGAGACTTTGGGGTGTGCCCGTGAAATGGGCCTCCTTAGTGTTGCTTACCTTCGTGACCACCTGGACGATTTTTTCGATCAAGCTGGCACGGTCGAGCAGCCAAGAATATCGGATGCTCGTTCGCCTGGCTGTTCATGGCGAGTCTTTACTACTTCCGTTTGGTCCTGTTAGAGTCCAACAAGGGCTCCTGTGGCCATGGTCATGCTTTTCTTTTGCATAGGACAGGATCTGAAGCACTTGCTATGTACAGACATAGGATTTGCCATAAGCTTAGGTCATGTGTCCAGATCTGTGCACCTGCATTAAGGCAGTCACCCTCAAAGGTAGTCACAGGGTTTGATGGATCGGTCCAGCGGTTTGACTGCTCTTGACGCATGTGACGCATGAGGAACAGCTCTGTTGTGCTTTTCACCGAGCTCTTCAAGCTGGCCTTAAGCTTCGCGTTCCTATCGCTGGAGACGAAGAAGAGTTATATATATATATATATATAGAGAAGCGGTTGAACCCTCTCCCTCTTCCTGCATAAGCGACACCACACGGAAAGTTTTCTCACGAAGATAAACTCTTGTCTTATCAGACCAGCAGCGTTTACTAGTAGCGAACATTGCTCCTAGTAGTACGGCCAGGAGCCCCTAGTAGCGTCCTTGCTCCTAGTAGCGATGCCAGGAGCCCCTAGTAGCTTCTTGTTCCTAGTTGGTTTGGGTGTTTGTCTATTTTCTACCCCGGCCTTTTCTTAAGCGTGCTGTGAGGAGACCAAGAGTCCCATGGCGGCTGTGAGAAGCTTTTGGATCGAATGTCGGACCAAGCCATTGGCAATGCTCAAGCTGTGCGTTCCAGGTTTGGCTTACACCATTCAAAACAACCTGATCTTCCTGTCGGTGGACTTCTTGAGTGCAGCTGTGCAGCAGGTCACATACCAGCTCAAGATGCTAAGTTGCTCATATTGTTTGCTATTTTTTGGCGCCCCTTTGAAATTGGGTGTCCTCCTTCCTTCTCTTAGTCAGGTTCGGGCAGGTTGCTTCGTGTGATTGTGTTTGGACCGTGAAGGATTCTCACGGCAGCGCTACTGAGTGTTGTGATGCTGAAGAGGACGGTTGGTCGCAAGCGGTGGATTGCACTGTGCATTCTGGTTGCTGGAGTGATGCTCGTGCAAGTCCCACGGAATGCCGAGGTGTCATCAGTGCCTCGGATGCAGCACAAGGTCAGTTTGCAAGTCAACTCTGGGTCGCACCAAGGTTTCGGATTGCAAGTCCTGATCGAAGTCCATCATTTCTCCAGACAAGCTCGGACGTAAAGAACTTGTGCACCCAAACATACTGATGACTAAACACAGAAGGAATCAATCCTCTTACACCCGAAGCTCAAGCCCCATACCATCCAATAGAACACAACACTTCAAGATCGCCCGCAGCCCAATAAACCGATGCCAAAGCCCTCAAGTACTCAACATCCAGACATTGCTATTAGGTTGTATTGCTAGTAGGTTGGAGGCCATCGCTATTAGGTTCCTTATCTTGGATGCTCCTTAGTTCTTGTGTTCGGGGAGCTTCGTGGATCGGATTTGGCGGAGGCTCCAGGCACCACTGGTGCTACGCGTGCCTTCATGGGCTTCCTGGCAGCGCTGGGCGCATGCTTTGCCAGTGGCTTTGGAGGGGTGGCTTGGTGGGGACATTGAAAGACCCATGAGCATTGCAAGCACCCTGGACTAGTGTCCACACTAGGGCTAAACTTTGCTAAAAGCTGCTTGGGAACTTGCCTCGGTTATGTGACGTGAGGAGGCTCTCGAGGCTTTTCTTTTTCTACATTTGAGGCTTCACATCTGAAACAATATATATATATATATGCAACCATCAAAGTCCTTATTTAGTGTGCTTCGGTTACCCACACAAGGTACGACTTCAAACACAACACCTACAGCCTTACATAGGCATGGAAGCCTGAGACCTTGCAAAAAATCAACTACAGCTCAAGTGACGCAACCTTGGTCCCAAGCAACTGGGTCATTTTTGCTCGACCTGACGCCATACGATCTAAACGCCTCAGAATACCCAGTAACTTGGAGTACTCTTGAGCCCAGTGCCGTCAACGTAGAACACCACTCTGGGCCACAGAAGGTGCGTTTTCCGTGTCGCTGGAATAAGGCACTTGGAGAGTTTGCATCTACGCTTCTGTCTCGGGCTTTTCTTGGGGTCTGTAGAGACATAGATGCTACAAGAAATCAACCCCGTAGGCTGCCAATCTCCCTGAACAGTATGCTTCGCCGTTTTGACACGATTCTTACTCCTCAAGCAAGAAGAGTCTCACGTGCCGAGCATCTTGAGGGATCTCCCCCTAGTGTGACCGGACCATCAACCCTGCAGCTTCACAATCTTCCGACTTGATTTGCAAGCGTGATCAAACAGAGAACCAGCTTAGATATAGCAGCTTAGATGGGTACTCCTTTGCTGTGGGTTTCGTCTTCCTTGGCTTTCTTCTTGACAAACACCTACCTGAAAACTCGATCTGTTTTGTTCATCTGGCGACTGGGCTTGTAACTTGCAGTTTGCCTGCTCATGTTTCCCGGCCATGAAGAGTATGGCTTTCAGGTGTTCATGGAGATGGTCTTGAAGGGTTCTGCAACTTCGATCTGGCTTCGGAATGCTCAGTTGGCAATTTTTGGGGCTTCAACAGCAGCTTGGGTGGTCTTCCAGGAGGGTCATGAGGCGCCTTTGGTGCATGGCTATACCTTCTGGGTGTGGCTGATGGCCTTTACTGTTGCTTCTGGCGGCATGTTAGTTGCTGCAGTCTTGAAATATGCTGACAACATCTTGAGGCAATTCAGTGACTTCGGTTGATTTGAGCAGCTTTGTCGGTGGGTCAGATTGAAGGCCGGAGGATAGGATTTAATAGGGTGGCAAGGCATTTTCAGACAGTCCCAAGGTTGTAACTGTTAAACGAAGTAACATTTTTTTCTTATGACTTCTGGAGTCACAATGACAGGCTGTTTGAGCCTACCACTTTCCCAATCTTTTCCAATCTTTTTGTTGCTGAAACAAGTGTCTCAAAATTTTAGTCTTTGACTCTTTGACCTCTCTCTCGCTCTCTCGCTCTCTTCAAAAAGAAAGGTACTGCGATCTCTGTAATTCTGACCACAGCACTTTCGGCTCTGGTCTTGGAAGACATCACTTTGGATATGATGTTTGCAGCTGGAACCGTCCTAACCATCGGGGCCACCTTCATGTACAGTGGCATGCTTGATGATTTCTTGCCGAAGTGGATGCAATAGCCATAGTAAAGGCCTTTCAGACAACTACAAACACAACGAGGAATTGTTTGAAATCGGAAAACGCATCAAATACTTTCCTTGGAGCTAACGTGGCCTTCCCGTGGGAGATGGACATCTTCCCAGCCCACCTTGGGAGGTGCTATTTCGGCTCAGGGGAGTATACGAGCTCTTATGGGCTCTGTATTTCAAGCCTTATGGGCTCTGAGATGGCCTTTTTGAGTACCAGGTTGGGTACTCTGAGACGTTGAGTTGAGCGTTTCAAGCGCTGAAACCTCTCAACTCAACGGCAGTCTCACCTTGTCATGTCGATCACAAAAATGCCGTGAAGAAGATGTCCACCCTGTCCAACGAGCACCATAAGAATGACTTTTGTTATTCGCACTGTATCAAAGCACGTGATTTGCGAAGGGCAATGTTCAGCTTGCTAAGAAACATTTGAAGCGTCAAACTTTAGCAGCAGCTGTTATTTGCAGCACATTTTTGATGTAGTGAAAACTAAGCCCACGGGGGCTGCTGTGAATACTGAATCCTTGGATTGGACTGTTCCTAACTTGGATCTCTTGACAGTTCAAGGACCATCCATCATTCCTGCCAAGTGCACGACCAGACCACTAAGTCAGACACAAAGATAGCAATGCAAGTGTCCTGCATCCTTTTTTCTCTCTTAGTGCCATGCCTCTACCCATGAAAAGACACCTGCAGAGCACTCAGATGGCTCCTCATCCGATAGATCTGACCGAAACGCCGATGCGTGTCTTGCTCGTGGATGGCAACGCAATGCACCTGGAAGCAGGTGGGGTTGATGAAACGCCTCCGTCAATCATATAGGGGTTACCACAGTTTAGTGGTATATGGTATATGCATCCATTTTGGCAAAGCCTTCAAGGTCGCCTCCAGCTGATGTGAAAAGGCATGTTGTGCATGCCCAAGCACTCTAGAAGGGAACAGCGCTAAATTGAAAGGGCCGGCCCTGCTGAACCCATGAACCACCAAAACGGTGAAGTATGGTGATCTCGGGCAAAAACATACTTGGAAGAATTAATTTGACACAGGCAAGACTGCGGATGGCCGATGGTCCGCAGTGAGCAACCGCTTTTGGACTGAATCGAGAGGGTGCCCAGGGTTCCATCAATTTCAGCAACAATACTAGTGACTATTTTTCACCAGAGTTTGTTTGAGTGTGAGTGACATCCTTGCATTTGGGTATGGCCAGTCTGACCTGCCAGAGACCACCCACGCGCATCTCTTTAGACACGACAGGTGAGGTTGGCCGTTGCAGAGCTCAACCTGCTGAAGGATTTTGATGGCTTACAGTGACACATGGCGGTGGTATGTGGGTATCCATGACTTGTGGTGGGGGTTGAGGCAAAGATCTGTCATTCTCGCTATTTCACTGCTGTGGGAACGTGCTTTGGCAACTGAGCGGAGCTTGTTGGGAAGCAGCTTACGCCACTAGTGGATTAGGGTGTGCAAATGCATTTGTGAAAAACAGGATCATTTGCATAATTTGCTTCTTTTTGGCAATTGCAAGCATCCAAAAGTGCACTGCTGGGAGGAGAAGTCGCCAACAGATTTGCTTGCGGCTGTGGAAACAGAGGTCGACCTGGGGAGCAAAGCAAAGCAGTGGCTCCAGCTCTATTTCAATGGGTCGGTTGTTCCACAGCTCCAGACAGTGTAGGCCTTTGTTCAGATCCTCAAGCTGTTCTTTACGATTCGTTTGATGTCAACTTGAGGACACCCAGGGTTTGCAGTCAGAAACTGGACAACAACCCGGACATAGCCAATAATTGAAGTTCCGTTGCCAGCAAGTTTGCTGTTTGTGGAATGTGCAGGCTCTCAAAGTGGCACAAGAAGTGGAAAATACTGAGCAGGACCCACACTCAGCTCTGATGGGCTTCTTCCGCGGCCGCAATAAACAGATCAGTCTAGCCGTTTAGCTGGGAATCACAACCAACACTAAGACTCGCAGCTTTGTTGCACATCACAGTAGTCACAGCCAGAGGAGCTGTTATGTTTATTTGAATTGAATGTTCTGCATCGCATCACCAGAAGGAATATTGATCAGAACCACCACAATTCTAGGCACTCCCATTGCTTCTAGGTTGGAGGCCATCGTTCTTGGGTTGGAGGGTTCAGGGTTTAGATTTTAGGGGAGCAATCGGGCAGCAACGATAACGCATCGGTCCGTCGGGCTGTGCCGCCAGACTTCCAGGATTTGGCCGCAAAACGATCGTTGGCTTTGGCCGAAGCGACCCTGCTGGCTGCTGGGCCGGGAGAAGACTTCAAGTCTGCATTGCAGCAGGCCCAGGAGCAGGCTGCTCACGGTTCATGGCCGGTGCAGATCTTTTGATCTTGGATCGGATGCTTGTCTCTTTGATCTTTGACATGTAAAACGGTAAAAAAGGTGTTTGCAAGAAAAACAACACTCTTGCTTCCTTGTGTACCTACGGCCAACGAACGATGAATGAATGGGGTGTGGCAAAGCTGCACTTGGTAATGGACCCTCTGAGGCATTCTGGAGTCTCCCCTTCTGTATCAGGGTGGAGAATACCAAGTGAAGTGTAGTAGGTGACCCGCAGTGGAACCAAATGAATACTGTAGTTTGAGCTATTCTGCGTAGGTAGTAGCTACCTATTGGTAGTAGCTACTAGCCTTACTCAATTAAGTAGCCGCTTACTTACTTAAGTAAGGGTGAGGGCAACCGGCTTTTCAAAAAAAGAGTCGAAGGTGACCCGCAGTGGAGAAGTCCAAACTCTCAAACTCCACATGGACTCAGTCCAAACCCACAGAGCCCGGAGGTGAGGGGTGCGAGTGTGACTGGCGCCGAAGGAGTGGATGTGAGGAATGTGAGGGCGCGTCTTGAGTCTCGCAAGGAGGGTCTCTAAGGGTAGGTAATTGTTCCTAGTAGCTTCTTGTTACTACTAGTAAGGCACCTAGTACTAGTAGCGATGCACTTGTTCCTAGTAGCTTCTGGATTTGGAGACACGTAATGACCTCTATTTGTTCTTGTAGACGCTCTGTGGGATTCTGCGCTGAAAGGAGCAAGCTTGGATGTTGAGCTGCTTCAGCTAGAAGCCTTGGCAGCCTTGACAAGAAGGTGGGTGAAGATAAAAATCTCTTTCAGGTCTTGCAAGAATGTTTCTAATTGCGCGTGCCTTACAGTCCTGGACGTAATTACCCTTCACCACAAGCTAGAATGCTTTTGAAGTCTTTTCTCTCGTTTTCCTGATTTTCTTCAGAACTTTAAGTATTTTTGTTGCTTTTATTCGCAAAGGCGCGTAACTACCCCTCACTGGTGAGCTGTCTTCATCGTCCCGCTCCAATGCATTGCCAATGTCTCAAGGTCGCCCAGAGCCTTCCGAGCAGCCGTCCCGGCCGTCGCTGTCCCTGTGAGCTCTCAGATGCCAAAAGTCTTGGCGTTGGACTCGATTGCCTCGCGCTTGTGCGACGACTTTGACAATGCCATCGGAACCGCGCAGCAACTGATTGAGCTCCACCGCGGACAGGTGAGGGGTGGGATGGATGTGGATGGAGGGTTTGATAGGCCAATGCTGTGAGGTGACTGGGGTCAGGAAAAGGGTTTGAAGAAACAGATGCCAATAACAAATGCGGCAAGTATGTTGGAGGCCATTGCTATTATGTTGGAGGCCATCACCATTAGGTTGGAGGCCATCACTACTAGGTGGAGGCCATCGCTCTTAGGTTGGAGGCCATTGCTATTAGTTAACAAAAGAGCATGAGCTTCTCAATGTCAAACTCTGAGAAGTATGTGACGTGTGATTCAAGGCTTCTCGATCAAACCTGAGGAGCGCCAGTGAGCCGTAGTGACGAACAGTGGTAGTGATTGAATGTAAGCAAGTCAGAACCTGGAACCTATGAATTTGGAAGAACTGACTGAACCGAACCGGCTGAACGCGCTGGAGGTTGATTTGGAGTGTTGGGGCGAGGTGTTGCTGTCCAGCGCGGCCTTGGCACGGGCCTCCTGCCATTTCCATCGTAACGGACCGCCTTCACCTACTCCGCCTGGTCGGCCGCCGGGTTTCTCAATGACGCCCTTGGCCGGGATGTACTTGGAGGATCTCAAGCGAGCTCATGCGGCGGCCGAGCGGGCCTTTGCGCTGTCCTCGCGGAGTTACAGAGTTTATGCGCTGCAGAGACTATGTGAGGTCATGTCGTTGAAAGGCCTGGCGACGGAGGCGCGTTTTTTCTCCAGATATTTTTGGTGAGAACTATCGTACGTGAAAGACCTAGTTCATACTGTAATGTTTGGATCTTTCTTTTGTGATTTGGCCGGACAAAAGGTCTTGGAGACTGACCAGAGACCACGGGATGATCAACATCTCTGTGGTCTACAGTCAACACTTCTTTGGTGAAACTGTCGGATCACGGGTTGGACCAGAAGATCTCTCTCTCTTTCTCTCTTTGTATATATATATAGATAACAAAAGGCGTATCTATCGCAGTATACAGACTGACTTGTAACATAATGCAAATCCATTTGTGGGGAATCCATGATAATCCTCACCATGTCTCCCTTGTTTTAGGATTCTAAGACTGCATCCGATGTCATACATTTGTAACCTTCAGGGCCACTTTTGAAAAGCATTTGGGTCAACATCAGGGCGAACAACTGGTGTGAAAACATTGAGGATCCAGGATTGATTTTATCGTCCCATCAACCACCAATCACCGGTGGTTCAAGACACTCGCAATGATGCTTGGAACAGTGAGGCGGAGGCCTTGGTACAAAGGGAAATCAGAAACGCTCGGGCGGCGAAAGTCCCTCAGATGGAGTGTCTTGGCTTTCTCAGACACTTGCTTTCAATCATGCATTTACCACCATCGGAGCGTGTTTTCACTGTAATAGGATTAAATATGTATATATATAGACACATACATACCTAAATCAGGACAAGGGCCAGATCACGCTTGGCACTATGTTCCGACAAAATCAGGTCACTGAGGGTCATGAAAAGGACTCTTGAGGGATTGAATCAGCCGCGGGGAGAAAAGTCTGCTCACCCCCAATGATCTACCTTTTCCTCTTCCTCAGCTCTTTTGCATCATTTCACTGCCTTTCCTCTGTTTTTCTCCAGATAGTGAGAGCTATTCGGGTTCTTACTTCAAGTATAGCAAGAGGTGCTTGCGTGCTCTTTGGCGGCCTGGGTGCTGGTGCCACTGCAGGGTGTTGCTGGCAGGTGTCTATGGCAGTGTGCGCTTGTGGAGGTTGCTATGGTTGCTGTCCCTCCCTAGTCTTTACCGCCTAAAGTGTATACATGCACAAATTCAGAGAGATTGGGGGAATGTCAGCTGTGCCAAAAGGTGTCTATAGAGCGCCAGTGGTAGCGGAGTGTAGCGGAGGTCTAGGCTGAACGGAAACCCATGCATCAAGATGTTGTGAGTGTGAGTGTCAGTGTTTTGCTCTACTTCTGCAGCCTCAAGCCACAGCTTGCATCGGCCATGGCGAAGCAATAAGGTTGAACATGTTGAGTTTGCAATTGAAGATGACTTCTGGAAGTTTCTACTCTTAAGTCTAGGTTTTGTTAGATAACAGCATTTTGATTTTGTGATGTTCTTCATTTGATACTGGCCAGGTTTTATCCTTACATATAAAATATGTAGTATTGCGTCCGGGTGGCTTTTCATCCCTGAGGATTACATGAGCGTGGTGGCAGAGCGCAACCCACCTAACATCCGTGAACTCTCAGTACACCACGAACACTTGCTGGGACTCCACCACTGAATTACAAGTTTGATTGGACGCCGAGAACTCGCCCACTCCACTCCACCTGGTGTGTGTCTGCTTGCATGTACACACACATATACATGTACATACATATGTGTATATATGACTTGTAACTTCGACTTCGTTCTGCACCTCAAGCCTCAAGGGTGGTCGATGTTTGACCTGGGCGCTGTCCTCGACACTGCTGCTCTCTTTGCCTCCCTATCCTCCTCTTTCTCTTGTCCGGTTCATTGCTATCCATCAGCGCTCTTGCCATTCTGTGCTGGCATTGCTATTGGCTTTTCAGTTGGCATCGCTTTTGGATTTTGGATTTTCTGGACTTGTCTGCGGCCGTTCATCTTGCCTCCACCTGTTCGTGAGGTTCCTGCTCCTGATCGGGCCTTCCCTGCCCGTCTCAGAAGGCTCCACGCCTATTTGCATGAGTGAGTTGAGTCAGCTTGGTCGGGGTCTTCGTGAACTCACCTCATCGATACGAGAGCTCACTCTTGTCTCCAGGGAGCTTGTTCGGCTTAGGACTTCGGAGGAGGTTGGGGAGAAGCACAATAGCAGTTCAGCCTCGTTGTCGGACATCGGCAGTTCGTGGGAGTTGGTGACTGACGGCACTTCAATTCCGGGGGCTCCAGCAGATTATCTCCTCAAGCAGGTCGTTATCCAGTTCGAGGATGGGCCTCCAGTTGTTCCGGACTTCTGTTTACAATTGGCTAGCAAGAACTTTTCTTCCTCCAAGGCATCAACATCCGATCGTGCGAGGGAAGCGTTTCGAGCCGGGTGGTGGGCGAGAGCTTTCTGGTCCTGCCATACTGACTACCAGAGCACGTACAATCCAGGAGTTGCTGCAGCGGCCCATTGGGTCTTGAGGAAAGGCTCAGGGTTCGATCTCATCAGGGTGCAGAGTCAGGCTGATTCAGACAGACTTTGCCGAACCTACTCGGACATCCAGTTTGTTGAGAAGCTGCCGACGCTCACAGAGCTGCATATTTTCTGTGCAGGTGCATTCTCTCCAGTGCCGCCACTATGGCGCTGGAACGCCAAGCAATAGTCTTTGCAGCCGACAACCAGGAGCACTCCCTGTTGATAGCTCACTTTTCAGAGGAGTTGACAGAGAGTGGCACCGAGGTCCAATCCTTTGTGATTCCCCTGATCGCTCGCAGAAAGGGGATGATGTTAGCCTTGCCAATTGGTCTTTTGAAGCATACCGTTTTAGCAGCAGCTGGTCCCATTGACGAGGAGGCCCTTGTTGGGCCCTCTCGCTCCTTTGAAGTGGATCTGCTTTTGGAGGATGAAGCTACAGGAATTCCCTACAGTGCCGGTTTCAAGTCTGAGGTGATGGTGGTCGATTTCTCGAATGATGTCCTCCCGTTCCTCAGAGAATATGACCCTGTCACAGACTCTACTGAGGAGGTGGTTGGGTTCCATGATCTTTACCCACAAGCGCTACCTGCTGCGGAGGAGCTTTTGAACTTGGTCCTTTCATGGGCCGAGGGTGACACAGCAAGCAGGACCTATTTTTACAGCGCTCGAGACGAGCCAGTTCCCAAGAAAGCTGTGGGCCCAAAGAAAGCCCCAGCAAAACGAACTACGACCTCAGCACTAGCAGAGCAGCTCACCCAACTGTCTGCTCAGGTCGCCCTGATTGCCGCCCAACAACAGCAGATTGCCGAGAAAGCACCTCCAGCCCAGACGGGAGTCCCAGGTGGAGTTTCCTCTGCCACTCCTGCTGCCGTGCCAGGAACTTTGGTGCCTTCCGGACCAGTCCCAAAAATGCCTCCAGTCTCCGCAGGGCTCATGACTCCAGCCGCAAACAGGCCTGCGGCAAAGACCCTTCAGCTGCTGGGGCCTCCTCCACGGACTCGAGCCTCGCCACTGGGTTCTGGACCCACTCCCCAGCCATTCGACGAGCCCTACGATCCGGTCAGAGCTCCTCCCGATACTCAGGAACAGATTCTGTCTCAGCAGACGATGGCCTTGAATGCACTGGTCTCTCATCTAGTGCAGGGAGGCGATGCTCTGGGGTTACACTAACAAAGTGGAGGAGCCGGTTCGAGTTCTACAAAAGGCACCATAAAAAGAGAACGTCTTCAGCAAGACTTGGCATCCAGGCAGTCGACCTTCTTTGTTGCCCTTCAGCAGCAGATCTTCCGAAGACTCAACCCATCCGCAGTGTTGCCCAGGACCGAGGAGGAGATCCAGAAGAAGTCCCCGTCCCTCTTGACCTATTTGGAGAGGTATGGCGGGTTCAAGGGGCAAAGGGAGGCTGGACTCACCATGTGGGTCTTTGCACACGCTTTAGATGCTGCTGCCGCTGGAGACTTCTTTGCTACAAGGGAGTACTTGGCTCTCGGAATCATGGCCCTAGAGCAGAGTGCTTTCGATGCCGGCGACTGGGGCCTCGCGTATGTGCTGTCTCTCCTGGAGGACCCGCCGCAGGCACTCTTTCAGGAGAAAATGCAATCCATTACTGCAGCGGGCCGCCCATTCGCCCCTTTGGTCCCTCCTCAACTGGCGTCCATCAATCTTGCCTACCTCAAGGAGATCGATGTTCTTCAGTCCAGGAGGCAGGAGACCAGATCCAAGAAGACTCAGCCAGTCGGAGGGAGGACAGAGGAAGAGTCACCGAGCCCGAAACGCCGCCCAAAGTTCCCCAAGAAGGTGAAGGGCGCGGCCGAGGGGCAGCAATGAGTCAGGGTACACCCGAGGCAGAATTCAATGCTGGGCACGAAGAAGTCCAGGATGCATGCAAATCTCAGATGGTCGTTGATGGTGGGTGTCTACAGCCTGGTGATCATGGAGGCCACCTACCTAGGCCCCTGGGCTCCCCTTTTGTTCCTGGGGCTGGCAATGGTGGTTCCTCGTCGGGACCCCGGCGTCAGCCCAAGGACGGGTTGAGCGGGTCAGAGCACGACAGTATTCGGCAGCTCAGTTTTCCTTTATGGTGTTCCAAGCTGACTACGCTGGTACTGAGATCACGTACAGCCTTTGCCTCATACTTGTCTTTCTCCATCAGTACTTCTAGGAGATCTTCTACCAGAGCTCCAAAGTCACCGGCTTTGTTCCCTGTCCCGCCGCCTGTGGATGGCTGCTTCGACAGGATGCCTGCAGGTGTTTCCAGTTGTCGGAGGAGAGCTATTGGTATTGCAAGAGCAGTTCACATTGTTTGCATGGCCTTGAATTTTTGGCAATCCAATGGTGATTTTTCTGGCAAGGAGGCATTGTGGAGAGCCCCTAACTCGGTTCATCGTGCACTCTACCAGAGGGTGCGGGCTTTTATCAAGTCGGACGGCCTCATGTCGACCTTTGATGCGCTACATGTTGGCCGAAAGAATCCAGAGCTTTTTGCACGCTTGAGTGAGGTGACGGCGCTACTTACGAAGTTGGGTTGTTCAGCCTCTCCTTACTCGAAAGTTTTCACAGGCTATGAGATCACCAAGGACAATACACAATTTCCAGAGCTTGAGCCTTATCGAGATCTTGATCCTAGCAGACTGCTGCTCTTTGGTCGTGGTCATTGGGACGTCACGGACTTCCTTGGTGATGATCTTGTCATGGCGTACCGTGAGCCTGAGTCGATCAAGGTTGAGCGTACACCTGCTGCTTGGGAATACCCCAGGATTCGGGACTCTGCTGAAAAGGTTGCCCAGCTGGCATTGCTGTGGGACCGACAAGGTCTTCTACGTCTACATCAAGAAAGAGTCTCATCGAGGAAGCAGTATGAGTTGGTCAGAATCTTCAACTGCTATAAGGCCGTAGATAGAGACCGTCAAATTGGAGACAGGCGTGGGAGAAATGCGGTGGAGTGCATCCTCCGAGGCCCCTCGAGCAATTTACCAGCTGGCCCAGATCTTTGTGACTTGGCGATAGACTTGGATTCACAGAGGCTCCATGTGTCAATTTCTGATAGGCGTGATTTTTACAATCAACTCTGGGCTACAAAAGCTAGAGCGGTTTCCAATACACTTGGACCGGGCCTGCCTGTATCCTTGGTGAAAGAGACGGATGCCTACCAGCAGTTCTTACTGGACTCCTCTCGCAAGCGGTATTCCCGTGTTAGACATGGTGACAGACTTGGTTTTGCTGCCTCTTCATCTTCAGTGACTGACATTGTTTGGGCATGTTTCAACAGTGTTTTGCAAGGAGATCATGGAGGAGTTGAAATTGCTACAGACGCTCACACTAGGCTCCTTCAGTCGTACGGGCTCCTGCAAGAGCATGTGAGAATGGTGGCCAACAAGCCATGTTTCAGCTTCGATGTGGCCGAAGGTCTGGTCATTGATGACTTCTTCTGCGTATCTATTGATCCTAGAGGCCAAGCCCGCGAAGACAGCCATGCCTATGCTGCCTACTATCGGGCTCAACAGGCCTACAAAGACTTTGAGCTTTTGGGATCTCCGGAGAAGGACATTGTTGCTGGTGAAGAAGGCAAAACCATAGGGGCCTATCTCAACGGTGGGGCATCAGCAGTCGCCCATGGGGTTTGTACTGTTGGGGCGCCGCCGGCGAAGAGATTGGCACTTTCTACTTTGACGCTACAGAGTTGTGCTCTTGCTTACACCACAGTATCTCTTCATCGGTGCATTGTTGGTGCTTGGGTCTCGATGCTGTTGTATCGCCGCCCTATGATGAACATTCTCAATGAGAGCTTCAGTTTGATCGAGGCTTTTCCTGACCTGGATGATGGTGCTCTTATTCCTCTTCCCCGAGCTGTTGCGCAGGAGTTGACCTTGTGTGCAGTGCTTGCTCCTCTTATGCTCAGCGATGTTGCAGTCCCATTCGATGACTTGGTCTATGCCACAGACGCTTCAGAAGAAAGAGGGGCAGTCTGCTCAGCCTTCTTGGGGAGACAACTGGGGCACTTGATCTCCAAGGTTTGCAAAACAAAAGGGGCCTACACAAGGCTCCATGTTGGCCTTGGTTCCCAGGGAACACAGATCGAGCCTGAGGTCAATGAGGGAGAGCCAGAGCATGATTCGCTGTACAGAGAGGTGGACCGGCCACTGGTTTTCAGTTTCGAATTCCTGGAGATTTTTGCTGGTTCAAGTAGGATATCCGAAGCTCTTCATCGCATTGGGGTTGTTGTGGGACCGCCAATTGATATCTCATATTCGGAGGAGTTTGACCTTTCCAAGTTGCATGTCCTGGCATGGATCTATCATCTCATTGAAGCTGGTAGGCTTTTAGCAGTGGCTGTTGAACCCCCCGTGTACAACTTTCAGCATTATGAGGAGACCGGCGCTGAGGAGTCGAGCGCAGCCCTACGGTTTTGATGTGCAAGATCCACAGACGAGGTTGGGCAATCTTCTTTTTCTGAGGGCATTGCAGATCCTGAAGAAGGCCTCTTTGCACGGTGTTGCGGGTCTCCTGGAGAGGCCTTTCAGCGCTCTTAGCAAGTTCCTTCCTCCATATCAACATGCACTCAGGTGGCCAGGGGCTGATGAGGTACGGATGGATTCCTGTCAGTATGGATCCATTCACCAGAAATCTTTTGCGCTCCTGGTGGTCAATGTGGACCTGTCGAGTGTTGCTCGGAGATGCCAGGGAACCTGCTGCCATGTGCCAATCGCAGGCGTATACACAAAGGCATCAGCAATCTACACGGAAGAGTTAGCAGCTGCTCTTGCTTGGGCTCTTCGTCATTCCATCCGAGTCATCAAGGCTCGCCGAGAAGCTGAGCAGGCAGGGAGTGTCGAAGGGCTGGAGAACCAGCTTGTCAATGAGGTGATGTTGGCCAATGACTGGAAGGTCACCCACTCATGGAAGTTCAAGAAGCCTTCCCATATCAATCTGCTTGAGTTGAAGGCGGTGGAGAAGTTGATTGATGAAAAGGCTAAGTCAGGTCCTTCGCGCTTCTTGAACCTGGTGGACTCCAATGTCTCTCGCTGCGCATTGGGGAAAGGCAGATCAGCATCATGGGCCATTACAAGCGTGCTGAGGAGGATCTCCGCTGCAATGGTTGCTTTTGGGCTTTATATGGTCAACCCATTTTGTCCTACTCGTCTCAACTGTGCGGATGATCCGACCCGCCTCCGTGAACTCAGGAGGCCAGTTGATGGTTGGGGCTGGAGAGAAAGATCCTTTGAGGAGCTTTGGAGGATTGCATTGATTCGACCTACGAAGAGATGGGCCTCCAATTGGATCAGACTGATCATCTTCCTTCTAGGGCCTACGGTCGTTGATCTGGCGGATAAGTCTCTCTACCGGCACTCTCCACAAGGCCAAGGAATTTTTCAGACTTCGTCCAGCTCTGTCTTTCCTTGCCCGGCCTTTCACTATGCCCCTTTGGACTTTGACTCTTCGTTGGGTTTTCCAGGGGAGGGCCCATGCCCCTCCGTCATGCCTCATGCCGCTCAGGCCTGGTCTTGGCCTTTTACCTCCGTCCCTCCTTCCAGAAGGCATTTGGGCTTTTCTCTTCATCCTCAATGGACTTCGTGTCGCTCCCGTCATTTGGATTTTCTGCGGCTCCTCCGCTGTCTGCGCTGCTTTCTTGCTCCGCTGCTGCTGCTTAGCTGCTTAGCTAGATGTGACGCCATGGCCCCTGAGACAGCTGCAGAGATTGCTAGAGCCGCGGAGCGGCTGAACCTGGAGGTGAGCCTGGAAGGGAGACCCACTTTGCCGGTAACCAACCGGTACCGAGAGAAGTGCTGGACCCAATTTGAGATGTGGCTTAGAACAGAGAACATTGATTTTGAGAGCTTGTTGGCACGTCATGTTGAATACATTGATGACATAAACGCTGTCGTGGCACGCTTCGGTCGGTCATTATTTTCCGCTGGGAAACCATACAACCAATTCGTTGAAACAATCAACACCCTCACTTCGAAGAAGCCAGCGTTGAGGAGGCTCACGCAAGGTGCGTGGGATGTGGCTTTTTCTTGGCTCCATGCGGAGCCTGGAGCTCACCATGTGGCTATGCCCTGGCAGGTTTTACTGTCGATGATCACAGTATCCTTGTTCTGGGGTTGGACATCCTTTGCTGGATGCCTTGCACTGAGCTGGGGAGCACTTCTCCGCCCTGGAGAACTGCTTGCGGCCTACAGGTCCGAGCTGCTGTTGCCGAGAGATGTTGATTTTACAGTACCTTTTGGTTTACTGGCGATCTGTGAGCCTAAAACACGCCGGACGGGCGCTAAGCACCAGTCAGCAAAGTTGGACGTGCCAGACCTCTTGAACGTCGTCGATTTCTGTTTTGGCCATCTCCGTCCAGGGGACAAACTATGGCCTTGGTCGGGACAAACGTACAGATCTCGCTTCCGCGAGGTCATGTTGGCCTTGAGGCTACCAACAATGAAGCTGGAAGGAATGAAAGCACTCGACCCCGGCAGCCTTCGTTCTGGGGGTGCCACATGGCACCTCCAACTTACAGAGGATGGTGAGTACACCCGTCGTAAAGGACGCTGGATCTCGGCAAAAGTCATGGAGATTTATGTTCAGGAGACTGCCTCTTTGCTTTACCTTAAGAGGATTCCTGATGCTGCCCGAGAGCTGGTTCTTAGTGTGGCCCACTTGTTTCCTACTGTTTTTACGAAGGTCTGCTGGTATGTCAAGCTTGGTGTTGCACCTTCAGCCTGGTTCATACTCCTGCAGAAAGAAGACTTGGAGGCGACGGGAAGAGATGGAGTTCAGTTCAACGGTGATTGAAATGATCACCCTGTGAGCCTTCAAAGATGGAGAAAAACGGCCGTGCAGTAAGATTGAGCAGTT